CACACACACACACACAAACTTTATTGTACATTCATGTAGCTCAGTGACAGACACTTGTTGTGCTGTGCAGGAAAAGAGGCTTTCAGGGAGGAAACAAACATTCAGTTTGTGCTGCTTGATGTTAATGGAACATGAATGCACACACAAACATACACAAATGAAACGTTTAGCCTCTATTAATGTTACTGCAAACACTAAGGGGAAGGCAAATCAGAACAAATAAGACTTTAGAGAACAAAAACTAAAATGTAAACCATGTATTCATCTACTACGGTTCAACTGTAACTTCATATGTTACGTTGAGAAAAGGACATCCACTTATTGATGAAGGCATATATGTGTTGTTGAAGGTCGAAGTCATTCAACAAAATGACTGTAATAGACCTGTTAATTGGTCAGCCCATTAATCGGGCATATTATTTGGCATTCTGAGATAATCTGCATCGGCTCATGTCTGTGCTCACAAGGCCGATAAATAAAACATGTCCTCAGACACATTTGCAGGCAGCCTTGTCAGGGTGGCTGTTGTGGAACAATGTGAGTGCTCTTGCCTGAATTTCCTATAGAACAGAATACAATAGTACATTGATTTGACTTGGTTTTGATATCAGCATTATATATCAGCAGCCCAGCTCTCCAAAGATCAGCGTCAGATACTGGAAATCCCATCAGTCGACACTAGTTCTGAGGACAGGGATCTCTTGTTTTTCAAATACTACCTAATGACAACAATTTTGCTCCCTTTAAATTACTATAAAACTAAACTAAAACTGCAATGTACTATTTATTTTCATTGTCAAATCATCGAGGTAGTCTTTTTCCCTCTTTCTGAATAATTTTATCTGTGAAAAATAGTGAAAAATGTCAAGTTCTGAGAGATTTTCATTATTATACATTATTCTATAAATGAAACAGAGAAAAGAAGCAAAAAAAGCCTAGGAGCAGCACATATTTGGCATTTTTGCTAAATTAAACAACTTAATTGATCAAAATTGTAGCTGTCATTGAACTAATTGATTGATTGTTTAAGCTCTACTCCAAGCTATGCAACTAATAATAAAAAAAAACTAATTATAACATTTCGGAGCTGGTTTTGCACATACTGTCTATGATTTATTAAACTTTGACCCTTTATTATTCTTAACATTTATCTTACCTAACTACCTCTGAAGAAGACATTTTAACGCAGTCAGCCCAATGGTCCCACATTTCTAGGACATTTTCAGATTTTAGGTATTGTGTTCCTACATTGGGTTAGTGTTAGGGAATAGGTTGGGTGTAATTGGCTACCAAATTGGGAGAAAGGGGGATAAAATCTGACACAAATTTATGAAAAATCAAATGTGCGAACATAGGGCCTAATTTTGGGAAAAAATCGTAGATATGTGGGAACATAGGGCTGTGAGAACATGGAGCTGTGGGAACATTTTAACCACTACGAAATGTTGAACACAATAACATAACTTTCACGTTGCAGTGTTGAAATGTGATGAATGAGACACACGAAAGCTATTACGCTAAAGAAGGATGCTACATTAATTACTCACCTGTTGTTTCTTTCCAGTCGTGTATCATGGCAGCCAGAGGAACATGAAACCGCCACATAAGTTACATAAGTTACATAAGACGCCATATTGTGTTTAAAAAGGTCTTCTGGAGGGATTCTGGTTCATTTAACTTTACTTATTTGGCTGTTTATAGTCGCAATTAATGTTACAGACTTTTCAAACTTGTCACTTGATTTTTGAACGAACTGCGCCATCACCTGGTACGTTACGTCCAACACGCCTTGACGTCATCACGCAGCGACGAGGAAGTGCTGCTGTGCGCGTCCTTCACTTCACCAACACGTTACAAAAAGTCTTGTAATGTCTGAACGGTTTTACTCTGATGTTTCTGCTTTTATCGAGTGACAGAAGCAAACAGCAGAGGTGGCTGGGACAAATAAATCCTTTCGGAGGTTTTAGCGTTTTATTCGGTGAGTGAGTGAGTTGAGTTACAAGCGAACTACCGGCTTACCATCCTTGTGTTGGATGACAGATAGGTGTTTGAATGTGAATTATTTGTTGTCTATTCAAAGTGAACACGGTGCAGTGCTGTTATTGAGGTTAAATTTAAGATATTAGGTCATTTGAGGCTGATTGTCTGTAAATTGACAACATAAACATACAGTAAAATTAAAAGTGGTGTAAACCTGAGGGACACTATATGAGGATAAACAGTAAACACACAGCATATAGTTGCAGGATATATTACAGTAATGAAGGGACTACAGGGAGATATTTCTAAGCATAGGATAATGCTTGTTTTAGGGTAGCCAGTTATTCATAATGGTGTTTTTCAGCTGTTTCGCCCGTTCGTTTAAAACACAGCCTTTACTGTTTTTACTTTCCTCCCAGGGTCAAGCAGTGATGGCGGCTCCAAACTCTGCAGAGAGGAAGGCCTGCTGGGACGCCAGAGACCGGCTGTGGAAATGTCTGGATGACAATGATGATAAAGCTGCATCCTGCCAGAAGTTCCAGAGCGAGTTTGAGACAAATTGCCCTGCTCAATGGGTAAACTATACTGTCTTTTACCTTTGTGATGAGTGAGGTCTGTATTTACCATATATCTTGATGGCGAATAATCCCCACTGACACAAGCACACTTCAGTTAGAGCTTAAAGCTCAAGCAGTGAAAGCTTAAATCCTCTTTTCCATTTTTCCCTTGCAGGTGAAATATTTCGCCAAGAGGAGAGACTTCCTGAAATACAAAGAGAAGATGCAGGCAGAAAGCTTCAAACCTGCTGACAACCCCCGGCAGCCTTCTTAACCACGAGACGGCAGACTATCAACATCTGCGACTATCTGACTTTTAGCCTTATTCAGACCAGGGCCAGAGGTGCAGGACTTGGAGAAGAGTTTCCCAACTTTATTATGAGTACCTGAACTTCCACTTTATTGTTATTTATTTGTACAGAGATAAAAGCTGCATCAAGAACATGCATATTAGCAGCAAGAGCGTCCTGAGCTTCCCCCCTCAGAAATACTACGTCAGATCATGTTCACCCACCCAGCTGGTCTGAGATGTTTGATAACAAAGGAAGCCAAAATGACAAGAGATTGAAAAGATTGTTGTTCAGTGAATCCAGTTCTCTGAGTCAGTTGGATTACTTGTGAAATTTAAAATGATGCTGGAGTACTTTGTGATCCCTGCGGTCACACATACTGGGTCTGTATCAACACTCATCCTAACACTGTTCAAGATGATTTTTTTGTGATTGTGTTTATCTCAAGTATCACCTCCTCTCTATTTCTGTTATCAGCCATTGTATTCTGTGTGGAGGACACACAGTGTGATTTTACAGATTAAAACTAATCTTTACTGATTGCTGATAGTGAACTTTTAATTTCAGGACAGAGCCTCAATAGGCAAAATCTCAAAAGTGTGACAGGCTTGTGGTGGTGTATGTAGATAAATAAAAAAATAAATACAATCAGTGGTTTTAGTTGTTTTATTGCTGTGCATGTGTAACGTTGTATCATCCTAACTCTAGTTTTTGTCCGAGTTGGATATGAATGAAACATCTATTATATATATATGATATAACACATAATTTAGGAATATTACATCTCATTTGGAAAAAAAGGCAAAGGCACATTATCTTTATATTACAAATCTGTATGTATTTACAAAGGAGTGTGGCCCCTGGTTCAAAGGTCACTGCTGTAACACCATCAAGATGTAAGAAACCTTCAGTATAACTGAATAAATTACAAAAGAACAGTGTAGGCTTTTGATTCTGCCTACACTAGAACCTATAATGGAATGATATAAAAAAAGCCACAAATTACATTTAAAATTTGTGTAAAAATATAAAGCATATCTTTTTATATTTTTGCACAGTACAGTGAATGTTACGTGCAAACTTTTTCACCACCAGACAACAGTTAATATGATTTGACAAGTTGATTGAACGAACTACTGAACCATACAACCCTGTGCTACCTCACTGTCTCTCCTCCTTAAAGGCTGTGATTCTGCAGCCTCCCAAATCCTTCTGCGTCCACATGCCAGGAGGAAATAAAGACCAAACATGGCCATCCTGTTGCTTAACATGCTGATCTAACAGGTTTCATACAAATATATATGTATCTTGATCATTACTGTAGCTATTGATGCTTGATAAAGATTTGTTTGAGTGTACCTGCTGACTTTACACTGATCAAATTTTTAAGGTTTAAGATCATATTGGCAAAAGTGACAACATCAGCTAGTAACATATTAAATATAGTACAGTTTACATTCTTAATATACTTAATTTACTTTGAGAACATGGCTGCGAAAAAAGCAAAGTAAAAAAGCAAATTACACTACTGCTTTCCATCCTGCGCTGCACTGAGATCACAGCAAGGCATTAACACTGGAGACATGATGTTAAAGTGTAGTATGACAGGCAATATGGTGAAGGCACTTGTGCTACTGCAAGGCGCTTTGAGTAAACAAAAGGCAAAATGTTCACAGTATGATGGCTCGCAAAATAAACTTCAGAAACTTTGGTAGAGACATCAGTCCTAGATTTGTAAAGCAATGCAGGTAGCAGCTATGCCTGTGTATATGCTTTCAATGTGTTGCTAAATATACACAAGCTTTTATATGTTGAGAAACAGATCATGTAGACTCTTATGTATACAGTACATTATCAGCCATAGTAGAAGCCTCTTTTCATGCATTTATCTTGTTTTGAAGCTGCAGCAGGAAACTATAAAAATAATAGAGACGCTATGGGACCCTGGGAATTAGACTCAACAATCAACTATCTTTCTTGGCCTCCAATGCAAAGCGTCTTTATATCTTTCTTGGCTCTGATTGGTTGTTTTGTTCAGGCCCAGTTGATTCTTACAAATTCTATTAGGAGCACAAGGACGAACCAGAGGAACCTAATTTTTCCCAGATTATCTGTCTCGTGTTCTATTGTCAGGATATAGTGAAAGCTTCAGCAAATGTTACAAAAAGTTATTTTTATAAAAGTTACCTACTGCAGCTTTACTACAGCAGTCGGCTCTTTCTTTTACACTGGACAGTGTAGCCAAAGTGATACATCGAAACTAAATGTGTGATCGTAAATGTATGTGATCTGGCTGCATACATTTAAGTGCAGCAGAAGTTCAGCAAGCATGCAGTAAAAAGAGGCTTATCTACAGTGACCATATAGCTTATTTCTATCTAAATGCAAAATAATCCACATGCATGGTGTGGCTCTGAGAACACCAGGCAGCTTCTAAAAACCTAACTTATCATTGTTTCTATTATAAATCAAAATATCAGTTCTTAATCACCAAATATGTTTGTAGCTTTTTAGTAATATCTTCAGTGATTTCGGTAAAAACAGAATCTCCGTCAAACTTCGTTAACGGAGGTAAAACAAAAAAGGTTCTTGCTGGAGGTCAGTGCTTACACTGGCCACTTTGACAAAGGCATTCTAAATTCCTCGTAACGCCCCCTTATGGCCAAAAAGTATACACTTCAAATTATTGTAGCTAAGCAACAGGTAATGTTTTTTCGCTCTTGTCTTCTTCTCCTCCTTCCCTCCATCCTTCTTCCTCCTTCAAGTCCAGTTTAATCAGTCTAAGAGAGGGCTTTACTCTGAGCAAGACCGTCGTCTTTACACATTTCCATGTCGTCTTTCCTCACAGAAACACAGACCCATCTCTTTCCTTCCTACCAGCTGCAACCCAGTGGTGGTTATAAGCTCCCAGTGACGTTCCTGGCCACTGCCCAGGTTGGGAACTCAGTCAGGTTGAAGAGGGGAACCCCCCACGTGGTGATGGCCAGCATCACTACCGCCACGCCGATCAGGTTGACCCCGAAGCCGGCTTTGACCTGGAGAAGAGGAGGATGGAAAGGAAAAATAAATGGTAATATGTTGAAAAATATGAGTTTATATTAAATTAGTTTATATGAAAATAAATATGATTATTTAGTGTTCCGGTTCGCCAAGAGTTAAGAAAGAAAAATCCTCAACCCTCTGAACAACAACTTTGACACACTGTACTCTTGAGCCTTTTGATGCTGCAGGTGCAGAAAGAGCATGTGACTTTGTGTGTGTGTGTGTGTGTGTGTGTGTGTCGTACCATGTCGCTGATCTTCACGTGGCCGTAACTGAAGACTATGGCGTTGGGGGGGTTCCCCACTGGAAGCATAACCCCGAATGACACGCACATGGTGGACGGGATCAAAGTGTGGAGGGGGTTGATGAGCAGAGTCTCTGACTGGAAGCAGGGAAGTGGGTGAAAAACAACAACAAAGTAAGAGAGAGAAAGGGAAGACAGAAATGACAGAAGGTAGATAAATAAATGGAGAACATTAGGAAGAGGAGAGGTCAAAGGTCATACTAAAAACTGCTTTTATAGGCTTTCACGTTTACAAAGCAAGATGCAATTACACTAACACAAGAGTCTGGGATATTAGTGTTCCCTGCTAACACATTAGCTTTCCACAGTGAAAAGTCTATTATTTCAAAATGGCCACACACAACACTGCAAAAACAGATCATTGAACAGAAGTCTTTTAAAGGAGTAGTTTTAACATTTTACAAAATAAATAAAAATGCACTTATTCGGTTTCTTGATGAGTCACATGAGAAGGTTGAAGGTTCACATCTGTCTTTAGTGTGAAGCTGGAACCAGCAGTTGCTTAGCTTAGCTTAGCATAAAGACTAGAAACAGGGGGAAACAGCTAGCTGGGCTCTGTCCAAAAGTAACAAAATCCACCTAGCAGCAACTCTAAAGCTCACCAATAAGAAAAGTGTGTAAGCTACTATTTCTTGGAGTCTTATCATCACCATGAGGTTGCAAGGCAACAAGGTGCAATGTGTCAATTAATGAGTTTCAGAAGCGCTTGTAGTCAGATTTATTGACTGTACTTTTGGACTGCACACCCTACCTATTTTTAGTTAAGCTAACATATTGATCTCTCAGCATCCTTTAGATTAAGTATTTCATTCTTTTGTTTTGCTAGTGTGCTAGGTGTGCAGAAATTCCCCCTTCATTGTGTAAGTAAAATTTTGGACTACCTATTATTTTCTGAGCACAGCCTCACTGAATGCATTATTCACATAAAGGACCTACTTTATTAATCTAAACACACAAGTCTGGATTTTATGTGGTTGTTTTCCCCTCGTTTGTGTCTCCCGATTCTAAGCGTCAGAGTGTGTGTCGTACCAGCGCTGACAGAATGGGCAGGAAGACGGTGAGAGTTGCCGGGTTGGAGGCGAACTCAGTGACCGCCGACACCAGCAGACAGGCCAGCAGGGTGACGGCCCAGGGAGGAAGACCACTCATGGGCTCCAGCTGTCTGCCGATCCACACTGACAGGCCTGACACCTGCACACACACACACACACACATATTCATACAGACATGTGAGCAACCTCAAAGAGTCAGCCTCTCACGCTCCAGCTGCAATCATGTCTACCTGAACCTCTGCTGCTTTGACCTCAAGTCATTCAAATCAAGGTTGTGCACAGACAGACAGTAAGAGGCTAGAGCTCCTGGTGGCCATCTCTTGTCATTACCAGATTCAATCTCATAAGATGCATGTAAATCACATCATTTGAACATTTAAAACTTTATGAGAAAACCTGAGGCTAATCTTGAAGATAAAAATGGCTCCTAACCCTCAACCTACTCCTAAGATGGTACAGTAATGCAATACAACAGCAAACAAACACATGTATAGTACCTTGCAACCGGCAGCCAGTGCATAGCCTCCTCCCACCAGGATGACGATCTCCCACGGCATCAGTCTCTGGAAGTCCTTCCAGGTGATCATGGGAGCCAGTGGGTCATCGTCCTCTGATGGTTTAAAACCACAGAGAATAAGTATCAGTACAGCTTGATGGGGTAATCCGTTGTTTTTATTTAATAATCATCACACCTATGAATTATTTTGTTATCAATATTTTAAGTATTCCTGTGCTTAAATATTGTGGATTTTAAAAACAGTTTTGTACTGTTTAGTTTTTTGGTAATGAGTGATATTTAGAGATTCATTTCTGCTGAAAGAGAACTTATTTCATTGTGTTGTAGCATATATACAGTAAACGATAAAGATAGTTTAGCTTTACGTCTAAATGATTTAGACATAATTTGGTCCTAATTATAAGGAAAATATAAATTTCTTTAAAAGAAATACTCAAATTAATATCAATTTATTATTGGAAACTTTATTATTGGAAACAAATATGTTAATTGGTTTGCTTTTACATAGATTTTTCGCATTTCAGCTGACCTGTTGTGAAGACAATCTAGACTGCGGTATTGTAGAGATTTATATGTTGAAAACAATTTTCTCTATAATTACTAACAATTTTTTCTATAATTACTACCAAATAACACAGTTCCAGTTTAAAATTGAGGATCCAATAAATAAATAAATACTACATTTTCTGAAGCAGAGACTTCATGTGAATGAATTCATGTCCTGTTAGATAACCTTTAGCAAAAGAGTAAAATATTGAACATAATTTTGTCCAGTTTGTGTGTTTTTGTCTATGTCTTAAACATCAAACATTGTAAAAAGACAAATGGCTCGCAGCTGTTTGCACGCCTGAACTAGATCTGCCTCTCTTACAGGTTACGGTGTTAAGAGGTTAGTGGACTGTCGAGTGACCGCACTAAAACATGTTTTGAGCGGCACAGTGAAATACAATAAATGTCAGAGTTTTCCAGTGTTTTTCAAACTGTTGCTCAACCGTGGAGAACGACTGTGTCTGAAGTTGAGCTGTTTCTGTTGTTGGGATCCAAGGATACCTTTAAATATGAACATGTCCATTTGAAGTATTTAACTGGACC